CACTCATTTCTATAAATAAATTTAATCTTCTTTCTTTCAACGCACTGGCCGTATCCCACTGAAGCAGGGTTGGCCCAAAAAGAAGGGGTTACTAGCCCCTTGCTCCCACCATTTTAGTTGCCTGTTATGACATGCATGGCTTACGGAGGAAGAATTCTGTTCCACTTTCCAGGGAGATAAGAGGAAATAAACAAAAACAACAACTAGTAAGAAAATAGAAGAAAACCCTGAGTGGTGTGTATATATATGGTTGTACATGCATGTGTAGTGTGACCTAAGTGTAAGTAGAAGTTGCAAGAAGTACAGTGGAACCTCAAAAATCGAACTTAATCCGTTCCAGGAGCTAGTTCTGAATTCGAAAGTCTGAAATTCGAAGCAATATTTCCCATAAGAAATAATGGAAATACAATAAATCCGTTCCAAAAACCCAAAAATATTCACAAAAAAAAAAAAAAATTTTTTATAGAGATTAATTACAGTTTTACATACAACAAATGCTATAGTCTAATTATGTATAGTAATATAGGTTGGTAGACAGCAACCACCCAGGGAAGTACTACCGTCCTGCCAGATGACTGTGAAACAAAAACCTGTAACTGTTTTGCATGATGGTAGGATTGCTGGTTTCTTTTTCTGTCTCATAAACACGCTAAGATAACAGGGATATCTTGCTACTCCTACTTACACTTTGGTCACACTTCACAGACACGCACATGCATATATATATATATACATACATCTAGGTTTTTCTCCTTTTTCTAAATAGCTCTTGTTCTTTTTTATTTCTTCTATTGTCCAGGGGGAAGGGGAAAAGAATCTTTCCTCCGTAAGCCATGCGTGTCGTATGAGGCGACTAAATGCCGGGAGCAATGGGCTAGTAACCCCTTCTCCTGTATACAATTACTAAAAAAAAAGAAGAAGAAAAACTTTATAAAACTGGGTTGCTTAAATGTGCGTGGATGTAGTGCGGATGAAAAGAAACAGATGATTGCTGATGTTATGAATGAAAAGAAGTTGGATGTCCTGGCCCTAAGCGAAACAAAGTGAAGGGGGTAGGAGAGTTTCAGTGGGGGAATAAATGGGATTAAATCTGGAGTATCTGAGAGAGTTAGAGAAAAGGAAGGGGTAGCAGTAATGTTAAATGATCAGTTATGGAAGGAGAAAAGAGAATATGAATGTGTAAATTCAAGAATTATGTGGATTAAAGTAAAGGTTGGATGCGAAAAAGTGGGTCATAATAAGCGTGTATGCACCTGGAGAAGAGAGGAATGCAGAGGAGAGAGAGAGATTTTGGAGATGTTAAGTGAATTTTAGGAGCCTTTGAACCAAGTGAGAGAGTAATTGTGGTGGGGGACTTGAATGCTAAAGTGGAGAAAACTTTAGAGAGGGTGTGGTGGTAAGTTTGGGGTCCCCAGGTGTAAATGATAATGGGAGCCCTTTGATTGAACTTTGTATAGAAAGGGTTTAGTTATAGGTAATACATATTTAAGAAAAAGAGGATAAATAAGTATACACGATATGATGTAGGGCGAAATGACAGTAGTTTGTTGGATTATGTATTGGTAGATAAAAGACTGTTGGGGTAACTTCAGGATGTACATGTTTATAGAGGGGCCACAGATATATCAGATCACTTTCTAGTTGTAGCTACACTGAGAGTAAAAAGGTAAAATGGGATACAAGGAGATAGAGCATCAGGGAAGTGAGAGGTGAAGGTTTATAAACTAAAGGGGAGGCAGTTGGGGTAGATAAAACGTATTGAGGATAGATGGGCTAAGGGAGGCATAGGGAATGGGGTCGAAGAGGTTGGGGTAGGTTTAAATGTAGGTTAGAGTGTTCAGCAGAAGTTTGTGGGTTACGGAAGTGGGTGAGGAGGGAAGAGGAGCGATTGGTGGAATGATGAGAAAAGAGAGTAGTAAGGGAGAAAAAGTTAGCATATGAGAAGTTTTTACAAAGTAGAAGTGATGCAGGAGGGAAGAGTATATGGAGAAAAAGAGAGAAGTTAAGAGAGTGGTAAAGGGCAATGAAAAAAAGAGAGCAAAGAGAAAAGTGGGTGAAAATGTTATCAACAAATTTTGTTGAAAATAAGAAAAATTTTTGGGAGTGAGATTAAACAAGTTAAGAAAGCCTAGAAAAACAAATTGATTTGTCAGTTAAAAATAGGAGAGGAGAGTTATTAAATGGAGAGGTAGAGGTATTGGGAAGATGGAAGGAATATTTTGAGGAATTGTTAAATGTTGATGAAGATAGGGAAGCTGTGATTTCGTGTAATAGGGCAAGGAGGAATAACATCTTGTAGGAGTGAGGAAGAGCCAGTTGTGAGTGTGGGGGAAGTTCGTGAGGCAGTAGGTAAAATGGAAAGGGGGTAAGGCAGCCGGGATTGATGGGATAAAGATAGAAATGTTTTAAAAGCAGGTGGGGATATAGTTTTGGAGTGGTTGGTGCAATTATTAATAAATGTATGGAAGGGAGTAAGGTTTCCTAGGGAATTGGCAGAGAGCATGCATAGTTCCTTTTTATAAAGGCAAAGGGGATAAAAGAGAGTGCAAAAATTATAGGGGGATAAGTCTGTTGAGTGTACCCGGTAAAGTGTATGGTAAGTTATAATTGAAAGAATTAAGAGTAAGACGGAGAATAGGATAGCAATGAACAAGGAGGCTTTAGGAAAGGTAGGGGGTGTGTGGACCAGGTGTTTACAGTGAAAATAAAAAGTGAACAGTATTTAGATAAGGCTAAAGAGGTCTTTGTTTGGGATTTATGGATTTGGAAAAGGCGTATGACAGGGTGGGATAGGGGGCAATGTGGCAGATGTTGCAAGTGTATGGTGTAGGAGGTAGGTTACTGGAAAGCAGTGAAGAGTTTTTACGAGGATAGTGAGGCTCAAGTTGAGTATGTAGGAAAGAGGGAAATTTTTTCCCAGTAAAAGTAGGCCTTAGACAAGGATGTGTGATGTCCCGTGGTTGTTTAATATATTTTATAGATGGGTTGTAAGAGAAGTAAATGCGAGGGTTTTTGGCAAGAGGCGTGGAGTTAAAAGATAAAGAATCACACACAAAGTGGGAGTTGTCACAGCTGCTCTTTGCCGATGACACTGTGCTCTTGGGAGATTCTGAAGAGAAGTTGCAGAGATTGGTGGATGAATTTGGTAGGGGGTGCAAAAGAAGAAAATTAAAGGTGAATACAGGAAAGAGTAAGGTTATGAGGATAACAAAAAGATTAGGTGATGAAAGATTGAATATCAGATTGGAGGGAGAGAGTATGGAGGAGGTGAACGTATTCAGATATTTGGGAGTGGGGCGTGTCAGCGGATGGGTCTATGAAAATGAGGTGAATCATAGAATTGATGAGGGAAAAAGAGTGAGTGGTGCACTTAGGAGTCTGTGGAGACCCAAAGAACTTTGTCCTTGGAGGCAAAGAGGGGAATGTATGAGAGTATAGTTTTACCAACGCTCTTATATGGGGGTGAAGCTGGGTGATTTAATGTTGCAGCGAGGAGAAGGCTGGAGGCAGTGGAGATGTCATGTCTGAGGGCAATGTGTGGTGTGAATATAATGCAGAGAATTCGTAGTTTGGAAGTTAGGAGAGGTGCGGGATTACCAAAACTGTTGTCCAGAGGGCTGAGGGAAAGGGTTGTTGAGGTGGTTGGACATGTAGAGAGAATGGAGCGAAACGAATGACTTCAAGAGTGTATCAGTCTGTAGTTGGAAGGAAGGCGGGGGTAGGGGTCGGCCTAGGAAGGGTTGGGGGGAGGGGGTAAAGGAGGTTTTGTGTGCGAGGGGCTTGGACTCCAGCAGGCATGCGTGAGCGTGTTTGATAGGAAGTGAATGGAGACAAATGGTTTTAATACTTGACGTGCTGTTGGAGTGTGAGCAAAGTAACATTTATGAAGGGATTCAGGGAAAAACCGGCAGGCCGGGCTTGAGTCCTGGAGATGGGAAGTACAGTGCCTGCACTCTGAAGGAGGGGTGTTAATGTTGCAGTTTTTAAAAAATGTAGTGTAAAGCACCCTTCTGGCAAGACCGTGATGGAGTGAATGATGGTGAAAGTTTTTCTTTTCGGGCCACCCTGCCTTGGTGGGGAAACGGGCCGGTGTGATAATAAAAAAAAAAATAAATAATATAAAAAAACATTTTTTACTTACCTTTTTTGAATATTGGTGATGGCATCTGGAAGATAGGGAGGAGGAGAGAGGGAGTTGGGGTTATTGTTTGGAAGGAGAATCCCCCTCCTGAGGACTTCCGGTATCAAAGCCCTCTCTGGGGTTGCTTCCCTTCTCTGTATTTTAAAGCCATAGGACCAGCTTGAGAGTCATTGGACCCCAGTCTCACAAAATAACTGTCTACAGTCGCCTGTTTCTGTCTCACAAAATAACTATCCACAGTCGTCTGTTTCTGTCTCACAAAATAACTGTCCACAGTCCTCTGTACATCCTGGCAAGCTCAACAAGTCTCACTCCAATCTCATACTTCTGTATTATTTCCTTCTTCACATCTATGGTGTTTCTCACTTTCTTTACCACAGGGGTACCGCTAGCAAGTTTCTTTGGGCCCATGGCAGCTTATTTCACAGCCCCACAAGCACTAAACACAATTAAATAATCATAAAATGTGTGAATGAGATTGCAGGTTAGTGTTCACTCAAGCATGAACAAAGTTAGACTGCTCATGGCGCCTGCACGGGGACGCGATCAGAGCGGGCCAGCGGATAGGTCCCGTACCCGGCGGTCCAAAAATAGGGGCGCGTTCGATAATAGGGACACAGTTTGTCCGAAAAAATGGTCTTATTTTCAAAACGTTCAATATGTGATACGTTCGATTTTTGAGGTTCCACTGTACCTGAAATCTTGCACGTTTATGAAATGGGAAAAAAAAGACAAGCAATCCTACCATCATGTAAAACAATTACAGGCTTTTGTTTTACACTCACTTGGCAGGATGGTAGTACCTCTCTGGGTGGCTGCTGTCTACCAACCTACTAACTATAATGAATATAATACGTACATGAAATTTTCTGAAGTACTCTCAGTCATATCTGGTGGCAGTTGCTTGGCTGAAATAAATAAAATAAAAATTTTAACATGTAAATGAATATATTGCAAGTGTATGGAATAAGTGGTAGGTTGCTGAAAGCAATTAAGACTTTTTTATGAGGATAGCAATGCTCAGGTTCTAGTTTATATAAGAGAGGGGAAGATTATTTTCCGGTAAACTAGGCCTTAGTGATGTCACCATGGTTATTTAATTAACATTTACAGATAGGGTTGTAAAATAAGTAAATGGTAGGGTGTTGGAGAGATGTGTTGGAACAAAATATGGAAAATCTAATACAAAATGGGTGTTGTCACAGTTGCTTTATACTAATGACACTGTGCTTTTGGAAGAATCTGCAGAGAAGTTGTAAAGGTTGGTGGATGAATTTGGGAGGGTATGTAAAAGAAGGAAATTAAAAGTGAACTTAGGAAAGAGCTAGGTGATGAGAGTAACAAACGATTTAGGTAATGAAAGATTGGATATCAGATTGGAAGGTGGGAGTATGGAGGAAGTGAATGTGTTCTGATATTTGGGAGTGGACCTGTCATCAGATGGATATGTGCAAGACGATGTGAACCACAGAAATGATGAAGAAAAAAAAAGGGGAGGTGCAATGAGGTATCCGTGGAGACAAAAAAAAAAAGTTTTCCATGGAGGCAAAGAGGAAAGTGTATGAGAGTATAGTAGTACCAACACTCTTATATGGGTGTAAATCATGGGTTAGTAATGTTGCAGTGAGGAGGAAGTTGGAGGCATTGGAGATGTCATGTCTGAGGCCAATGTGAAGCGTAAATATTTTGCATAAAATTCATTGTGTGGAAATTAGGAGGTGTGGAGTAAGTATTATCCATGGGGCTGAGAAGGGGTTGTTGAGGTGGTTTGGTCATTTAGAAAGAATGGAGCAAAACAGGATGACTGGGAGGGTGTATAAATCTGTAGGAGAGAAGACAGGGTAGGGGTCTTCCTAGGAAAGGATGGGAGGGGGTAAACGAGGTTTCATGTGCAAAGGACTTTAGACATCCAGCAAGTGTGTGAGCATGCTAGGTAGGAGTAAGTGGAGGCATATGACTTTTAGAACTTGATGAGCTGTTGGAGTGTGAGCAAGTTAACACTCATAAAGGGATGCAGGGGAACTGGTTAGCTGGACTTTAGTCCTGGAGGTGGGAAGTATAGTGCCTGCATTCTAAACGAGGGGTGGAGATTATTACAGTGGACCCCCGCATACTGTTGGCATCACATAACGATTAATCCGCATACCGCTTGCTTTAATCGCAAAAATTTTGCCTCGCATACCGCTCAAAAACCCGCTCACCGCTGTTCGTCCGAGACGCGTCCAATGTGCGCCTTAGCCAGCCTCACATGTTCCGCCGGTGGCATTGTTTACCAGCCAGCCTCCGCGGTAGCATCCAAGCATACAATCGTAACATTTCGTATTATTACAGTGTTTTTGGTGATTTTATCTGCAAAATAAGTGACCATGGGCCCCAAGAAAGCTTCTAGTGCCAACCCTACAGCAATAAGGGTGAGAATTACTATACTATAGAGATGAAGAAAAAGATCATTGATAAGTATGAAAGTGGAGTGCGTCTCCGAGCTGGCCAGGTTGTATAATGAACCCCAATCAACCATCGCTACTATTGGTGGTACAGCTGCTGCTGCTGCTGCACTGTCAGCTGCTGCTGCTGCTGTAGCATCGTCTGCTGCTGCTGTAGCATCGTCTGCTGCTGCTGTAGCACTGTCAGCTGCTGCTGCTGCTGTAGCATCGTCTGCTGCTGCTGTAGCACTGTCAGCTGCTGCTGCTGCTGTAGCATCGTCTGCTGCTGCTGTAGCACTGTCAGCTGCTGCTGCTGCTGTAGCATCGTCTGCTGCTGCTGTAGCACTGTTGTTGGTGTGGCTTATTGAGAATATACCAAGAAACAATTAACCCCAGAGGATTTTCCACCCAGGATAACCCAAAAAAGTCAGTGTCATCGAAGACTGTCTAACTTATTTCCATTGGGGTCCTTAATCTTGTCTCCCAGGATGCAACCCACACCAGTCGACTAACACCCAGGTGAACAGGGAAAAATGCCTGGAACTAGTGCTCATATTGGTGAATTTAAAGCCAGCAAAGGTTGGTTTGAGAGATTTAAGAATCGTAGTGACATACACAGTGTGATAAGGCCTGTTCTGGAAGAAAATGCCAAACAGGACCTACAGTACTCAGGAGGAAAAGGCACTCCCAGGACACAGTGTCTCATCAGTCATTGCTGCATCTTCAATAAAGGTAAGTGTCATTTATTCTTCATTTAATAGACTAGTACATGCACAATATATACTGTGCATGTACTACTCTACTATTGTGCATGTATCCTTCTCTTTGTGTGTAGGAAAATGTATATTTCATGTGGTAAAATTTTTTTTTCATACTTTTGGGTGTCTTGCACGGATTAATTTGATTTCCATTATTTCTTATGGGGAAAATTCATTCGCATACCGATTATTTCGCATACCAATGAGCCCTCTTGCACGGATTAAAATCGGTATGCGGGGGTCCACTGTATTATTATAATCAAAAAGAAGCGCTAAGCCACAAGGGCTATACAGCTGTGTTGCAGTTTTGACACACCTCTGACAAGGCAGTGATGGAGTAAGTAATGATGAGTTTCTCTTTTTGGGCCACCCTGCCTCAGTGGGATATGGCTGGTTTGTTGAGAAATATATTCATGTATTTACACATGCAGTGGACCCTTGGTTTTCCTGAGTCTCAGTTTTTGTGAATTTTGGTTATCAGCAACTTTTTTCTTCAAAATATACCCTTGCTTTTTGTGATTTCCCTTGGATTTCGGCAGTCGTAGAGTATGTGGCCCAGTGGCCCTGTAAACACAAAGCTTCCCATAGATACATTCAAGAGTCAGTCTGGCATTGTTTCTCGGTGAGTGAGAATCGCCCCACGCATTCATATGAAACATTCGTATTAATCCATTGTTTTTTGTGCTTGCAACTGCTAAATAAGCCACCATGGGCCCAAAGAAAGCTTCTAGTGCCAGCCCTTTGGTAAAGAAGGTGAGAAACATGATAGAATTAGAGAAAGAAATCATATAAAAATACGAAAGTGTTGTATGTGTGTCCAAGCTTGCCAGGATGTATGGGAAGCCCCATTCAATGATCACTCCCATCATGGGAAAGAAAAAGAAAATCAAGGAAGCTGATGTTGCAAAGGGGTAAATGTGCTAATGAAACAGATCACAGGCAATTGAAGATGTGGAGAATTTGTTGTTGGTGTGGCTCAACCAAAAACAGTTAGCGGGAGATAGTGTTGTGCAGTCGATAATTTGTGAAAAGGCAAGGCAGTTGCATGCAGATCTTGTAAAGAAAATAACTGGAAAGAGTGCTGATGTTAGTGAATTTAAGGCCAGCAAAGACCGATTCAAAAATTTCAAGAAGCGAAGTGGCATACACCGTGTTGTAAGGCATGGTGAGGGTGCCAGTTCAGACAAACGTGTGGCTCAAAAATTCATGCAAGAATTCAAGGAGTACATAGAAGCTGAAGGATTCCTCCCCAACAAGTGTTCAATTGTGATGAAACGGGCTTTTTTTGGAAGAAAATGCCAAAGAGGACCTACATCACGAAGGAGGGAAAAGGCATTCCCAGGACACAAGCCTATGAAAGACAGGCTAACTCTCTTGTTGTGTGGTAATGCTTGTGGGAATTTCAAAGCAAAGCCTTTACTGGTGTATCACTCTGAAAATTCCAGTGTGTTCAAGAAAAACAGTGTCGTCAAGAGTAAATTGTGTGTGATGTGGAAGGCTAACAATAAGGTCACGGGGGAAATTTTCCTTGATTGGGTCAATGAAGTGCTTGGCTGGAGTGTGAAGAAATACCTCCTGGATAATAAACTGCCACTCAAGTGCCTCCTGGTAATGGACAATGCTCCTGCTCATCCTCTGGACTCGGATGACCAATTGTTGGAGGGGTTTAGTTTTGTCATAGTGAAGTTCTTGCCCCCTAATACCACTCCTCTCATCCAGCCCATGGACCAGCAGATCATTTGAAACTTCAAAAAACTCTACACCAAAGCAATGTTTCAAAGGTGCCTTGACGTGACCTCAGACACTGAATTGACCCTAAGAGAGTTCTGGAAATATCACTTAAATATCATCAATTGCATAACCTTTATAGATAAGGCTTGGCAGGGAGTGACTTCCAGGATGATGAACTCTGCTTGGGAAAAATTGTGGCCAGAATGTGTCCAAGAGAAGGATTTTGAAGGGTTTGGGGCTGACCTGTCGACCCTATGCCTGTTGTGGAATGTAGTGTAGCATTGGGGAATTCCGTGGGGTTGGATGTGAGTGGCCAGGATGTGGAAGACCACTGAAGAGCTACAAGAGCTTCATCTGCAACAGCAACAGACCACAGCTGAGGAAATTGCTTCACAGGAGGAGGAAGAGAGAGAGAAGGTGCCTTCATCGAAGATTAACCCTTTCAGGGTTGGTGCCGTACTAGTACGGCTTGTACGCCAGGGTTGGTGCCGTACTAGTACGCATAAATTCTAGTGCCTTCAAATCTAACGAGAGAAAGTTGGTAGGCCTACATATGAAAGAATGGGTCTATGTGGTCAGTGTGCACAGTATAAAAAAATCCTGCAGCACACAGTGCATAATGAGAAAAACTCTGTTTTTGCAGAAACAGAGCTCTCTGGAAAAAAATTTTGAGTGACAGGGGTCCAGTGACCCTCAAGCTGGTTGTAGTGCCATTAAAAAAAACAAAGAAGGGAAGTAACCCTGGATAAAGACTCGGTACCTAAAGTCTTTATGGAAGAGGATTCCCCTGCCCAACAATAGTAACTTCTCCCTCTCCCCCCCTCCCATCTTCCATACACCAGAGTCTTCAATAAAGCTAAGTGTGATATTATTGCTTTATATTGATCTGTCATTCTTTTCTGAATGTAAATCTGTATTTAATCTCTAAATTTTTTTTTTTTTTCAACAAGTCGGCTGTCTCCCACCGAGGCAGAGTGACCCAAAAAGAAAGAAAATCCCCAAAAAGAAAATACTTTCATCATCATTCAACACTTTCACCTCACTCACACATAATCACTGTTTTTGCAGAGGTGCTCAGAACACAACTTTTGGGTGTTTGGAATAGATTAATTGGATTTATATTATTTCTTATGGAGAAAAATGGTTTTGGTTTTCGTGAATTTTGGTTTTCAGCACTCTCTGGAACGGATTAATCAAGAAAACCAAGGGTCCGATGTATATACGTATATATTTTTTTTAACATGTCAGCCGTTTCCCACCGAGGCAGGGTGACCTAAAAAGAATGAAAAACCCAAAAAGAAAGAAAAAACTTTCATCATTCACACTTTCAATATCATTTATGCACAATCACTGTCTTTGCAGAGGCACTCAGATACGACAGTTTAGATGTCCCTCCAAATAGCCAATATCCCAGTGCAGGCATCGTACTTCCCACCTCCAGGACTCAAGTCTGGCTAACCAGTTTCCTTGAATCCCTTCACAAAATATTACCCTGCTCACGCTCCAACAGCTTGTCAGGTCCCAAAAACCATTCGTCTCCATTCATTCCTATCTAATATGCTCACACATGCCTGCTGAATGTCCAAGCCCCTTGCACACAAAACCTCATTTAATCCCTCCCTCCATCCTTTCCTAGGACGACCGTTATTATATTTGGGAATTTTTTCCACTGATCTTCAACTTTACTGCTAAACCAGTACTTTAAATCTGAAGGACTGTATCAATCAAAAATACTTACTGAAATCTGCAATATTTGCATGAATCTTCCCTTCATACTTTGCAATATCCTCGACGATTTCTTCTAGGATATCAACTGAGCTCTTGTAATAGCCAAATTTCACTTTCTGTTGAAACATAATAGAAACTGTTATAATTCTCAATGAAAAAGTATGTTAATTTTTTCTACCTCAACAGCTATTTCCCACTAATGTTCTCATAAAAAAGAAACACATTCACTATCATTTATCCACCTGCTGATTGGCTGAAGCATGCTGACATTATAATTCAGAGTACTAACGAACTGCAACTTCTCCATCCCTTCAGAGTGTAGGTACTGGCCTTCCCATCTCTACCTAACACAAACCACACACACACATACACAAGCCTGCTGGATGCTCAAGGCCCTAAAACTTAGCTTCCTCTGCCCTTACCTTCATACCATTCCTGATGACCCCCCTCCCTCTACCCCTTCTACCTTCTACTCTAGATTTATACACCATCATCCTAGGCCTCTCTGCATGCTCAAACCACCTCAACAATCCCTCTTCAGTTCTCTAAATTATACTCTTGGTGACCCCTACACCAATTAATTTTTACACTCGTAAATTCTCTGCATGATATTCTCACCACACATTGCTCTCAAACATGATATCTGTACTACCTCTAGCCTCCTAGTTGCAATGCTCAAGTCTCCTACAACTTTTTTATTTCAATGGCCATATCCCTCAAGGTGGAGAAACCCAAAGAAAAAAACACATTCACCACTATTATTCCTTTCATTGCCTTTTAAGAAGTATGCATACATCACAATTCAGATTACCCCCCAACTGCAACATCCCCACCTTTCCTTCAGTGTGCAAGCACTACCCTTCCCACTTCCAGAATTCAAATCCAGATGACTGGTTTCTCCTGAAGCCCTTCATAAATTACCTTGCTCACACTCCAACTTTTTTTTTTTTTTTAACAAGTCGGCCATCTCCCACCGAGGCAGGGTGACCCAAAAAGAAAGAAAATCCCCAAAAAGAAAATACTTTCATCATCATTCAACACTTTCACCTCACTCACACATAATCACTGCTTTTGCAGAGGTGCCCAGAGTACAACAGTTTAGAAGTATATATGTATAAAAATACACAATATATCCCTCAAAACTGCCAATATCCCAAACCCCTCCTTTAGAGTGCAGGCATTGTACTTCCCATTTCCAGGACTCAAGTGCTGGAAATGGACTAAATATTACCCTGCTCACACTCCAACAGCTTGTCAGGTCCCAAATACCATTCATCTCCATTCACTCCTATCTAACACGCTCATGCACGCTTGCTGGAAGTCCAACCCCCTCGCCCACAAAACCTCCCATACCCCTTCCTTCCAACCTATTCGAGGACGACCCCTACCCCGCCTTCCTTCTCCTACAGATTTAAATGCTCTCCATGTCATTCTACTCTGATCCATTCTCTCTAAATGACCAAACCACCTCAACAACCCCTCTTCAGCCCTCTGACTAATACTTTTATTAACTCCACACCTTCTCCTAATTTCCACACTCCGAATTTTCTGCATAATATTTACACCACACATTGCCCTTAGACAGGACATCTCCACTGCCTCCAACTGCTTCCTCGCTGCTGCATTCACAACCCAAGCTTCACACCCACATAAGAGTGTTGGTACTACTATACTTTCATACGTTCCCTTCCTTGCCTCCATAGATAATGTTTTTTGACTCCACATATACCTCAATGCACCACTCACCTTTTTTCCCTCACCAATTCTATGATTAACCTCATCCTTCATAAATCCATCCGCTGACACGTCAACTCCCAAATATCTGAAAACATTCACTTCTTCCATACTCCTCCCCAATTTGATATCCAATTTTTCTTTATCTAAATCATTTGATACCCTCATCACCTTACTCTTTTCTATGTTAACTTTCAACTTTCTACCTTTACACACACACTCCCAAATTCGTCCACTAACCTTTGTAGTTTTTCTTTAGAATCTCCCATAAGCACAGTATCATCAGCAAAAAGTAACTGTGTCAATTCCCATTTTGTATTTAATTCCCCATAATTTAATCCCACCCGTCTACTGAACACCCTAGCATTTACTTCTTTTACAACCCCATCTATAAATATATTAAACAACCATGGTGACATTACACATCCCTGTCTAAGACCTACTTTTACCGGGAAGTAGTCTCCCTCTCTTCTACACACCCTAGCCTGAGCCTCACTATCCTCATATAAACTCTTTACAGCATTAAGTAACTTACCACCTATTCCATATACTTGCAACATCTGCCACATTGCTCCCTTATCCACTATCATATGCCTTTTCTAAATCCATAAATGCAATAAAAACTTCCCTACCTTTATCTAAATACTGTTCACATATATGCTTAAATGTAAACACTTGATCTACACATCCCCTACCCACTCTAAAACCTCCTTGCTCATCCGCAATTCTACCTTCTGTCTTACCTCTAATTCTTTCAATAATAACCCTACCGTACACTTTTCCTGGTATACTCAGTAAACTTATTCCTCTATAATTTTTACAATCTCTTTTGTCCCCCTTCCCTTTATATAAAGGGACTATACAAGCTCTCTGCCAATCCCTAGGTACCTTCCCCTCTTTCATACATTTATTAAACAAAAATACCAACCACTCCAACACTATGTCCCCCCTGCTTTTAACATTTCTGTCATGATCCCGTCAGTTCCAGCTGCTTTACCCCCTTTCATTCTACGTAATGCCTCACGCACCTCCCCCACACTCACATCCTGTTCTTCTTCACTCCTAAAACATGTCCATTAAAAATCACTTGTCTTTATTCACTAACACACTCGCACAAGCATGATGGATGCTCAAACCCCTAAACCTCAAAAGGCCTCTTTTACCTCCTCACCCCAACTATTCTTGGGATGACCCTTACCCTTCCTACCTTCCACCCAAGATTTATTCACCTCTGTCAACTTATCTCTCTCCATACCTAAATAACCTAAACAACTCCCCCTCCCCTATGTATTATAACCTTGGTGACTCCACATCACTTTAGTTTCTACGCTCTAAATTCTCTTCACATTATTCACACTACACACTGTTTTCAAACCCATCATCACTGCTTCTAGCCTCCTTGCTGCAGCATGTAAAAACCCCTATAAAAGTGTTGGTACCACTACACTGTTATACAGTGGACCCCCGCATAGCGATATTAATCCGTGCAAGAGAGCTCATTGTTATGCGAAATTATCGTTATGCGAATGAATTTTCCCCATAAGAAATAATGGAAATCAAATTAATCTGTGCAAGACACCCAAAAGTATGAAAAAAAAAATTTTACCACATGAAATATACATTTTCCTACACACAAAGAGAAGGATACATGCACAATAGTAGAGTAGTACATGCACAATATATATTGTGCATGTACTACTCTACTAAATGAAGAATAAATGACACTTACCTTTATTGAAGATGCAGCAATGACTGATGAGACACTGTGTCCTGGGAGTGCCTTTTCCTCCTGAGTACTGTAGGTCCTGTTTTGCATTTTCTTCCAGAACAGGCCTTATCACACTGTGTATGCCACTACGATTCTTAAATCTCTCAAACCAACCTTTGCTGGTTTTAAATTCACCAATATGAGCACTAGTTCCAGGCATTTTTCCCTGTTCACCTGGGTGTTAGTTGACTGGTGTGGGTTGCATCCTGGGAGACAAGATTAAGGACCCCAATGGAAATAAGTTAGACAGTCTTCGATGACACTGACTTTTTTGGGTTATCCTGGGTGGTAAATCCTCTGGGGTTAATTGTTTCTTGGTATTCTCAATAAGCCACACCAACAACGGTGCTACAGCAGCAGCAGCAGCAGCTGACAGTGCTACAGCAGCAGCAGCAGCTGACAGTGCTACAGCAGCAGCAGCTGACAGTGCTACAGCAGCAGCAGACGATGCTACAGCAGCAGCAGACGATGCTACAGCAGCAGCAGACGATGCTACAGCAGCAGCAGACGGTACTACAGCAGTAGCAGCAGCTGACGGTGGTACAGCAACAGCAGCAGCTGACGGTGGTACAGCAGCAGCAGCAGCTGACGGTGGTACAGCAGCAGCAGCAGCAGACGATGCTACAGCAGCAGCAGACAATGCTACAGCAGCAGCTGACGGTGGTACAGCAGCAGCAGCAGCAGCTGACAGTGCTACAGCAGCAGCAGACGATGCTACAGCAGCAGCTGACGGTGGTACCGCAGCAGCAGCAGCTGTACCACCAATAGTAGCGATGGTTGATTGGGGTTTATTATACAACCTGGCCAGCTCGGAGACACGCACTCCACTTTCATACTTATCAATGATCTTTTTCTTCATCTCTATAGTAATTCTCACCCTTATTGCTGTAGGGTTGGCACTAGAAGCTTTCTTGGGGCCCATGGTCACTTATTTTGCAGATAAAATCACCAAAAACACTGTAATAATACAAAATGTTCCGATTGTATGCTTGGATGTTACCGCGGAGGCTGGCTGGTAAACAATTCCACCGGCGGAACATGTGAGGCTGGCTAAGGGCGCACATTAGACGCGTCTCGGACAAACAGCATTGAGCGGGTTTTTTAGCGGTATGCGAGGCAAAATCTTGGCAATAAATTGTAGTGGTTTGCGGATTTAACGTTATGCAAGGCCAACGGTATGCGGGGGTCCACTGTATTACATTTTTTGCCTCCATAGATAAACCTCTATTCACAAATGCCTCGATACATCACTCATTCCCCCCCCCCCACTCTCATATTTTCAATGGTTCACCCTGTCTTTCATGGACCCAAATACAGTGTAGTGACATGTTCACTCCCAAAAATCTAAATAGATCCACTTCCTTCATACTCCAACCCTACAATGTGATACTGAATCTATCATTGCCTAGACTCTGTTAACTCCTCATCATCTTGCTCTTTTCTATGGTTACTTTAAATTTCCTTCCTTTACTTGCCTTCCCAAATTCATCCACCAACCTTTGCAACTTATTTTCAGAACCCCCCCCCCCACCCACACACACACAAAAAAAAAAAATACCACTGTTATCAAACATCTTTTTAATCTCTTACTCTACCCATCATCCTAGAATTCACTTCCTTTACAACCCTACCTATAAATACAGTCTCTCCTCACTTAACTCTATGACTGCCGCAGGCCCCTTTCTGAAACTGTCATTCCATGTCGATAAATTTTTGGAAAAAAAAAAAAAAATCTCATGAAATGATAGAGAATCTTTTCCCAGTAGTAATGACACCAAAAGTATGAAATTTGGCCGAAAACTCAGAGAATTACGCTTCCGTGAAGTTAGCGGTCTAGGCGACATACACGCATCAGCGATTTCGCCGGCTTTGAGCCCTGTTTTTGGCCAATTTCGTTGTTCCAGTTGACCAAACTTATAGCTATTTCTTTAGAACTCCATTTTTTCTATCAGTTGAGTACAAGAAACCACCCATTTACCGATTTGAACTACCCAATAAAGTGGCCAGAAATTGGCAATTTGGCCAATTTCACGCAAATTAAAAAAGATGCTAATTTCAAAATAGGGTCCAGAATAAACAATGTTGACATTCTTGGCACTAAAATAACATCCTCTGTTCATTAGTCACATCTCTAGGCCCCTCTTATATTACTATTGCTTTCTATTTTGATTTTTTTATTCATACAAAAAAATACAAAATTTACTGTTATGCAGACTACTGCATTATTGTAAAAATGGTATAAATAATATCAGTGCACTAGTGAAAGAATATTAAACTCCCCAGTTGACATGTATTGGACATGTGGTGTGATTTGCTTACTCTTGAACATTGGTAAAAATCGAACATTTCCGCTACTTTGAGCTTAATTTCAGGTTGTTTTTATCGTGAAAGTAATCAAAATCATCTCCATTTCTGTAATATGTTTTCCATTTTATCACCCGAGATCATGAAAACGAAAATACAACGATAAATACTATATGAAAATTCACCTCAAAGTCGGCGTTTTAATCCAAAAAAAAGGCGAGTTTTTTTTCCTCATTACGCACTGCGTGCTGCAGGATTTTTTTTATGTGGTGCACACTGACCACACAGACCCATTCTCTCACATGTGCATCTACCAGCTTTCTCCCGCTTGATTTGAAGCCACTAGAATTTACACGTATAAATACGTCAGAAACAGTGGCGAGTAAGACGTATATATACGACTGAAACAGTCAAAGGGTTAATGATGAAGTTCCATTCCTAATACCGTGTCGATAAATGAATTCGCTGCAAAATAGGAAGCATACTATAATGGTAGTGGGTTTATGTCAACCATCTTTGATATTACTTTAATGTCACCCTTTCACGGTTTATAACATTTTTAGTATTGGCAGTTTGGAGGGATATGTTGTGTATCTTTATATGTGTATGCTTCTAAACTGTTGTATTCTGAGCACCTCTGCAAAAGCAGTGATAATGTGTGAGTGAGGTGAAAGTGTTGAATGATGATTAAAGTATTTTCTTTTGGGGGATTTTCTTTCTTTTTTTTTGGGTCACCCTGCCTCGGCGAGAGACGGCCGACTTGTTGAAAAAAAAAAAAATTTTAAATGTTTATACAGTAGTGTACTGTATATTGTAATAAACAGAATAGATGAAATCAACTCTGATATACATTATTTACTGCTTTTTTATTATGAAATGGCTAGAGAATCTGTTTTCCTGAGGTCCAATAAAATTCAACACAGTACAAGAATTTTCAAAAAAAAATTTGTTCTTTTGATTTTGCGATTGAACTCTTTTCTGAAGCCAATAACCAAATTACAAATCTCAAAAAACTTAACTATTCTCATCATGTATTTACTCTAATTTCTATCAAATGAGGACAAGAAATCGTCCAGTCAACTGTTTCAACTACAAAATAAAGTGATTGGAAATTGGTAATTTGGCCAATTTAATGCAAAGTTCAGAATATTCCAATTTCAAAATAGGGTCCAGAATAAACAATGCAGGCATTCCTGGCACTAAACTAACATTTCCTCTGTTCATTAATTATGCTTTCAGGCTTTACAAATGAGTTCCATTTTGATCTTTCATTCACATAATGAATTTTTATTCAAACCAAAAAATAGATTTACTGTTATGCAATATTGTAATAATTGTATAAATAATATCACCACACTTGTGAACGTATATCAGACCCAACAGCTGGCGTGTATTAGACGTGCGAGGTCATTTGTTTACTCCTGAACATCGGCAAAAATTTAACATTTCCGCTACTTAGAGCACAGTTTCAAGCCATTTCCAATATTAAAACAAATCAAAACAATCTCTACTTCTGTAATATATCTTCCATTCTATGAAATGAGACCAAGAAATCGCAAATACAACTATAAAAAAACATACGAAAAACACTGCAAAGTCGCTGTTTTAATCGAAAATTACGGTCTCAGTTTTCTTCCTCTCATTATGTACTGTGTGCTGCAGGATTTGTTTTATATAGTGCACACATACCACATTGATGTATTCTCTCATACCTAGGCCCAAATTAACTGCTCACAGCTTATCTGAGTGAGCTGAGCTCATGGCACAGAACTATGGTTTGGACCCTGAAAGGGTTAAACAATTATGGTAATATTACTCATAGCTAAGTTCCACTTTCACTGGGATATAGTCCCCATCTTTCCTATACACCCTAACCTGAGCCTCTTAACTGCTTTAAGTAACATAACTTCTATTCCATACATTTGCAATATCAGCCACATGGCTCCCCTATCCACCCTATCATATGCCTCTTCTACATCCATAAATGCAAAAAACAGCTCTTTACCCTTATTTAAGTACAACTCGCTTAGATGCTTCAATATAAACACTTGGTCTGCACATCCCCTACCCTTCCTAAAGCCTCCGTGTTCCTCTGCGATCCTGCTTTTTGTCTTACTCCTAACCCTTTCAATAATAATTATACCATAAAATTTACTTGGTATACTCAGTAGGCATATCCTCTTATAATTCTTACACTCTCTCTTGTTCTCTCTTCCCTTATCCAAGGAAACTATGCATGCTCTCTGCCAATCCTGAGGTAATTTCCCTTTAACACATACTGAACACACAAACCACTTCAACACTGTTAACACCTGCTTTCAACATCTGTATTAATCTCATCTATCACAGCTGCTCTATCCACTTTCATTCTACCCACTGCCTTGTGTACTGTACCCTCCCTGCATTGACCCCAGACTTCTCACTCCTAAATTATTTTATTCCTTCCTGCCCAATGCACAAAATTACCACCTTCTCTTCATTAACATTCAGAAACTTCTCAAAAATCCTCTCCATCTTTCTAGTTCCTCCACCTCCCCATCTAACAGCTCCCCTCTTTCATGTTTTACTGCCAAATCCATTTGCTCTCCAGGCTTCCTTACCTTACTGATCTCCCTCCAAAACAGTTTCTTAGAAATATAAACACTTAAGCAGTATAATGTGATCCTTTATTAACAACGTTTAGCCCATGCAGTGGGCTTTATCAAGTCACAAACAGATCTACCTGGGTGAAACATAAGTGAGTATTTACAGGATGAGAATGCTGGGTCAGGTGGAGAGTGCTGCATGTGATAATCTTCTGAGTAGGGTGATAGAGTCTAGAACCTTGGGTAGCTTTAAAATAAGATTGGATAAGTATATGAGTAGACCTTCTGCAGTGTTCCTCCATTCTTATGTTCTTATGTGGAATAGCAATTAAGAAGTTTCTTGGCAAGGGGTTCAGCTATGTTATAGAAGCCATTGTTCTGGTTAAGTTGTTGGATGTACAGACAAGTGATGATTCCAGGATTCTTCGGTATTGAGTGTTGTCTTCTCTGGCAATAAGTCTTGCATTTCTGTAGTTGATGAAATGGTTGTGTGAATTTTGGTGTTGAACACAGGCATTCCTTGGATCGTCAGAGCTGCCTGCATACTGGTGTTCTGAAATACGTGTTTGGAGGTCTCTGGATGTTTTGCCGATGTATAATTTGCTGCAGTCATTACAAGGGATTGTGTATAAGCCTGCAGAGGATTGAAGCTTGTCCTGTCTATTATTTGTAATGTCCTTGATGGTGGTGGATGTGGAGGTAGATACTTGGAATGAGGTATTGGAAAAGATGTTGGAAATGTGTTTGGCAAGAGAGTTGGTGGAGAGGGCTATGTATCTCTTCTTAGCAGTGTCTTCTCTGGGTGTGTTAAAGATGCTTAATGCCCATCGTACAGCAAATTATACATCGGCGAAACATCCAGAGACCTCCAAACACATTTCAGAACACCAGTACGCAGGCAGATCTGGCGATCCGAGGAATGCCTGTGTTCAACACCAAAATTCACACAACCATTTAATCAACTACAGAAATGCAAGACTTATCGCCAGAGAAGACAACACTCAATACCGAAGAATCCTGGAATCATCACTTATCCGTATATCCAACAACTTCAACCAAAACAACGGCTTCTATAACATAGCTGAACCCCTTGCCAAGAAACTTCTTCATTGCTATTCCACATAAGAATGGAGGAACAATGCAGAAGGTCTACTCATATATTTATCCAATCTCTTTTTAAAGCTACCCAAGGTTCTAGACTATCACCCTACTTGGAAGATTGTCACATGCAGCATTCTCCACCTGACCCAGCATTCTCATCTTATATTCACGTATCTTTCACCCAGGTAGATCTGTTTGTGACTTGACAAAGCCCACTGTGTGGGCGAAACGTTGCCAATAAAGGATCACATTATACTGCTTAAGTGTTTATATTTTTATTGTGTCGGTATTTTATAGCATTTATTTCCAAAACAGTTTTTTTATTTTCAGCAAAATTTGCTAATAAAGACTTGCCCATTCTCTCATTGGCTTTCCTGCACTCAATCAACACTTTTAACCTCCCTCTTCCTCTCCATACACTTTGCCTTGTATCATTACCACCCTCTAACTCACCATTCCATCAATCATTCCTCTTCCCACCTGCACCCAACCTCCTGTACTACAAACTTATACTTACTAAGTATTTTGCATTGTGAGGCATGCATTTTCCATGGTATTCCTTGGAAGTCAAGTGTGACAACATTTCAGATGACCGGATACGTTTGACGCTGTCGTTGTCTCTTTGACATAGCTGGCAAGTGAATAAATTTTTGCCGTGAATAACCTCCTTGTAGACAAACTGCACACCTGTGAAAGGAAAGAAAAAATATCATTAAATTCTCATACCTAAGGTAAATCTTCTAAAAATCATGTGCCTAATTTGGCTGAAAGGTGAGTGGACAAAGAAATGATTATCATAATAAACTTTTTTGATAGGAATGAAAAACACATTTTTGTATCACCAATACACTTTCATGCCCATTAACCCTTTCAGGGTCCAAGGTCCAAATCTGAAGTGGTGCCCCAGTGTCCAAGAATTTTAAAAAAAAAATTTGTTATTTTTTCTTATGAAATCGTAGAGAATCTTTTTGTGAAGGTAATAAAACAAAAAGTACGAAATTTGGTGGAAAATTGATGAAATTATGCTCTCGCGAATTTTGATGTGTCAGCGATATTTACGAATCGGCGATTTTGCCGACTTTGACTCCTATTTTAGGCCAATTACATTATTCCAATCAACCAAATTCTTAGCTATTTCACTAGTATTACTTCTATTCTATCGATTGAGCACAAGAAATCGCCAAGTCAACTGTTTCAACTACAAAATAAAGTGATCGGAAATTGTTAATTTGGCCAATTTAACACAAAGTTCAAAATATTCCAATTTCAAAATAGGTCCAGAATGAACAATGTAGGTATTCCTGGCACTAAACTAACATTTCCTCTGTTCATTAGTTATGTTTTGAGGCTTTACAAATAAATTCCATTTTGATTTTTTATTCACATAATGAATTTTTATTCACACCAAAAAATAGAAGATTTACTGTTATGCAATACTGTAATAATTGTATAAATATCATCACCATATTTGTGAATGTATATTAGACCCACCAGCTGACGTGTATTAGATGTGTGAGGTCGTTTGTTTACTCTTGAATACCGGCAAAAATTTAACATTTCCGCTACTTTGAGCTCAGTTTCAAGCCATTTCCAGTGCTAAAACCAATCAAAATCATCTCTATTTCTGTAATATGTCTTCCATTCTATCAAATGAGACCAAGAAATCGCAAATACAACTATAAAAAACATACGAAAAAACACTGCAAAGTCGCTGTTTTAATCGAAAAATCATGATTTCAGTTTTTTCTCTCATTATACACAGTGTGCTGCAGGATCTGGTTTATGTGGTGCACACATACCACATAGATGTATTCTCTCATATCTAGGCCCAAATGTACCACTCACAGTTTATCAGAGTGAGCTGAGCTCATGACGTAGATCTACGGTTTGGACCCTGAACGTAAAGCCGTAGATCTACAGGACGGACCCTGAAAGGGTTAATTAGTCCTCCCACTGTAATTGTCTTTTCCACCTCTGCTCCACATGCCACTGTCCATATTTCACAACTAACCCATACTTAGGAGAGGATGCTTATACAGGTCCGCCATCACAAATCCGGCATCGCTGGGACCTGTAGTGTGCCGGATTACTGAGTTTGCCGGATTACAGAGTGGTTAGGTTAGAATACACTTTATAAAGTTAATCAACTTGTCTTACACAAGAAAATTAATTGAACATCACCAAAAATCGAACATTTCTGCTACTTTGAGCTCAATTTCAAGATACTTTTCATCGTTAAACTAATCAAAATCATATCTGTTTCTATAATATATCTTCATTCTATCAAATGAGACCAAAAAAATGAGAATACAACCATAAAAACCATACAAAAATATACCGCTAAGAGGCAGCTAATGGTTGAGAAGTGAACTCCGTTATTTATCATCTGATTTTTTTCAATTTTGGTGTACGTTAAGAAGCATCTTTCCATCATACATTACCCAAGTTTCAATAATATAGCCCAACAAACAACTGAGAAAAAATTATTTACCAAAAATCATATATGGCAAGCCCAAGCCAGGTGGTGGAAATAAGAACATAAGAACATAAGAACATAAGAACGAAGGAACACTGCAGAAGGCCTACTGGCCCATGCGAGGCAGGTCCAAGTCTCCTACCGGCTTAAGCCAATGCACCCAACCTAGACAGGTCAGGTCACATTGACTTAAGGGAGGAACACGGCAACCGACCTGTTAGCACAAGCTATCAGGTCTAACTCACACCCACCCACATCTACTCATGTATTTATCCAACCTATTTTTAAAGCTACACAACGTTCTGGCCTCTATAACGGTACTGGAGTTTGTTCCACTCATCCACAACTCTATTACCAAACCCAGTACTTTCCTATACCTTCCTGAATCTGAATTTTTCCAACTTAAAACCATTGCTCGAGTCCTGTCTAGGCTTAGATATTTTCAGCACACTATTTACATCCCCTTTATTTATTCCTGTCTTCCACTTATACACCTCAATCATTCCCCCTAATTCTAACGTCTTTCTAAGAGTGCAGTTTTCAGGGCCCTTAGTCTATCCTCATAGGAAGGTTTCTGATACATGGATCATCTTTGTCATCCATCCTTTGTACATTTTCCAGAGAATTTATATCCATTCTGTAATACGGTGACCAAACTGTGCAGCATAATCTAAATGAGCCTAACCAAGGATGTATAGAGTTGAAGAACAACCTGAGGACTCCTATTATTTATGCTTCTTGATATGAAGCCAAGGATTCTATTAGCTTTATTGCGAACACTTATGCACTGTTGTCTTGGTTTCAGATTACTGCTAACCAGAACTCCTAAATCTTTTTCGCAATCCGTAATATTAAGATCTACATTATTTAGTTTATATGTGGCATGGTTATTGTCCTGTCCAACATTTAGAACTTTGCATTTGTCTATATTAAACTACTTCTATTCTGTCGACTGAGTATGTAATTGGATTTACATTATTTCTTATGGGAAATATTACTTCAGTTTTCGGCCAACATATCGGAAAGGATTATGGCCGAAAACCAGGGGTCTACTGTATCTTTTTAATTTACACAAGAGCTTTTACAGGTTAGGTTACGAGTTCCTAACCTTATTTACAAGTTAAGAGCTGTTACCTACATCAGGCATTAACTAATGGCCCAAGTTGAACTGAAACATTATCATACATTTTAGCATCCTACATGCGAGTTATTTGTGCATGTCAGTTCATTTGAAAGTCTTTTTATTACTATTATGAGACATACAAAACAGAAACAAGATGGGGTAGGAACCAGCTGTGGGCCGGTAATTTCATCATATGAAGCAATGTTCTTGAGAAGGGTACAGCCAGAGTGTAGTTGCTGTTTTCTGACCATCCTGTATGCAAGTTATCTTCTCACCAGCCACAAATTGGATGACAATACTGGCCTTGTACAAAATAAGATCACCCACACCTCTCCAGTGCTGAAGGAGCTGATGGAATAACATTTATTGAGGCCAAGAAGTAAGGTGTCTTGCTCAGTTCTCTATTTTGTCCAGAAGTCATATATAAGACAAGGGGCAGGTACTCCAAGGCAGTGAAGGTACATTTTTGCAGCCTCTGCTGTGAAGCAGGTACAAGATTTGCCTAGTGCTATCTTCTTGGCTGCCTCTCTTGTAAGGTTTACTGGGTGGTTTTTCAACAGTTTGGGATCAAATTTCACCCCTAGGACTTCCACCTCATCGCCAGGTTCCTACACTCTCACTCTTATAACTCATCAAGTATTAACACCACAGTGCCCAAACACCATCATCATTTGTATTTTTTTTTTTTTTCAAAAGAAAAGGTAACCAGCCATCGTTTTCCTCAGGCCAATATAACTGTAAGCTGGTGATTGATTTACCCGAAAACAGCTGACATTTCCTTTCTTGGATAAGTAAATGTCAGAATACAGTCATCTGTACAGGCATGGGATTCTGGGATGAGGTGAAGGATATTGAGGTATTCCCTGTGGTATACTAGCACCAATTGAGTGCCTTGTTGACTCTGTCCCATTAAGAACTACTCTTAGAGATCTACCTTGAAGATGATCACTAAGGAGGTGTAGTGGCAAGCCAAGGACTCCAAGTGTTTTTCAGTTTTATCAAGAGGCCCTGGTACCATACTTGGTCAAAAGCACCAGCAATATAAAATTCTACTAAACAGTTGATCTTTGATTCATCCAGTGATTAGTGCCACATAGTGGAGAGGTTTAATAGATCTGCAGCAGAGCAACCTTTTCTGAAGCCCTATTAGCAGTCACCAAGAAGCGAGTGATAGTTGAAAAATGGTTTGCTTTGAGAGTACAGTGGAACTCTGGTTTTCGTACTTAATCCATTCCAGAAGGTCGTTCTAAATTTGAAATGTATGAAAACCAAATTAATATTTCCCATAAGAAATAATGTAAATACAATTAATCCGTTCCAGACACCCAAAAATATTAACAAAAATACATTTTTTAAAGAAAAACTAGTTTTACATACAGAAAACATTGAGGAATAAATATAAATGACTAATTTGAATGATAAATGAACATTACATACCTTTATTGAAGACTCTTGTTGGCATATTGAAGAAAGCGAGGAGGGGAGAAGAGTTTGAGGGTATTGTTTGGAAGGGTAATCCCCCTCCATAAAGACTTCAGGTATCAAAGCCCTCTCTGAGGTTACTTCCCTTCTTTGTCTTTTACTGTCACTGGACCCCTGTCGCACTAAAAATCTGTCCAGAGAGCTCTGTTTCTGGCGTCTCTTAAGATTTGCCTAAAATGGGACAAGGTATTGTCACTGAACATGTTGCAGATACTGCAAGCTCAGCTAAACATACACCACTTTAGTATTTTTCTACAATCTCTTTCTTGAATTCTATCATGTTTCTCACCTTCTTTATCACAGGGCTGGCACTAGGAACTTTCTCTGGGCCCATGGTGGCTTATTTTGCAGTCGCAATCAATAAATAAGCACAAAAATTGCGAATTGTTTCAGATGAATGCTCACTCAACCAGTGCCAGAGCCAGACTGATGGCATCCCGGATGGGTGGACACGTCTGATACACACAATTTCGCCCAAAAACAGTGTTCTAAATCCGAATTGTACGATATGTGGACCGTATGAAAGCCGGAATTCCACTGTATAGTCTTAAGAATTTTGCCAGTGACTGACAGGAGTAACACTGGTCTGTAACTGCTGATTTCCATCTATTTTTTTGTGAACAAGAACTACATTTACCTCCTTCCACAAGACCATTTATGATGTGCTAGCACTACTGATAGATGCAAGTTAGAGGTGATGCTAGCTGGTCTGCACATCTCAGCAATCATGGGCTCATCTTATCTGGACCCACAGCTTTTTCTTTGTCCAGGGATTTATGGAGGAAATATACTGCATCCTGCCTTATTGTAACCTCAGTCACTGACAGATCTTGCAGTTAGCTAAGGTTCCCTAACTGGATCAAGGACTTACAGTTTGGCAGCAGTGTTCATCAAAAAAGTAGTAGAGACAGTCCCTCTCAACCATCTACTCCTCTCCCCTCCCCTCCCTCTTATTTTTTTTTAAGCTATTAGGAAAAAACTTACAAATTTTCTTCCCTTTATTTCCTCATCCTACATTCTTTATCAATTAACAAAATTCGTGAACATTAAAATGGTATAAAATACCGATAGGTTGAAAGGTAAGACACATATGCAACAGTTACCTAACTGTTGCATATGTGTCTTACCTTCCAACCTGTCGGTATTTTATACCATTTTAATGTTCACTCTGTCAGACACTGCAACACAAGGGTATCTTGATACAGACCTGAAATCAACTTGGATAACTTCTACTAGTGAGAATGGCTGAATTTGAGAGGGACCTGACCTCCCAACGACTACATTCTTACCTCTACTAGTGGCCTACATCTCACCTCCTGGCAGTATATAAGGCTCCATCCTGTCACTTCAACTCCATATTGTTTCAGACTATGGAACAATACTCTTCTCCAGACTGAGGGACTGATCACCTCAAAACTTCAAGGGTGATGGATTGATTACATCGTCTTCAAGTCTCTTCTGCTTCTATCAACTGTACTCGACTGAAGAAGCCTACTGTGTAGGCGAAACGTTTCGAAATAAAGATACCTAACTATTGCATGTGTGTCTTACCTTCCAACAAAATTCTTACCTAATACATTTAATTCAGTTGAATCTATCATATTTTCTAAAGAGCCTTCAAGAAATATTCCACGTGGCTCATTGAGATGTCTTCGGACCAGCTGCCTTCTGAGGTTTGGATCCTTTGGTGTTAATAATTGCTGCCGACACTGCAATGAAATGTTGAACAAAACACTTTAATGACCAAATGACCTTTAACAATATATTTAAGTATTTATATACTGAACTATCAGTGTGTCAGCGCTTGTGAATTTCTTGAATGAGCTGTAGCTCAAGAATAAAATCCCAAATTATCATCTACATATACTTTTTTTTATTATTAAACTACCTACACATCCTATACTTTCATTATTCTCAAACTACCTATGCATCCAGCATATTAAGTTACATATACAATACAATTTTGTATTATCAAATTACCTTTACATACCACACAATGTTAATGAATTACTTATACATACAACACACTTTCATTATTAAAGGTCTTCCTATAAAATAAGTAACCAGTGAATGGCACCATTTCATAACAGTGAAGTCAAATTTTAGTACTGTACTCAAGTACTGTGCTAAGACAGATTTTGTGGATGTTAAAGGGTGACAAAGAGAGCACCAAATAACTGTTGGACTATGAAAACTTATTAGAGCCTGGGACATAACCAGGAAGTCCAGTCATACACTATTTTTCCATTTTGTACTCCCCCCCCCCCACACACACACACCAAAAGCTGGAGCTCCCCTTGCTACCCCCACAAACTCGAATACATAATCCCTTTCACTCGCTCATTCTTAACACAAACATCACACACAAAAAAGTGTGCACCTTAGTCAACTTCTTGATCCCTACTGGTGAATGTACTGATTTGTGGTCAGTGTCAAGGCAAATTCCTAAGGAATGCAACATATTAACTTGTTGGTTTTATCCCATTCACTATTACTAAGGTTAGTCGCACCTTTTAACACAATGGATATTTCTTGAGTCAGTGTATTAGTACCAGAGACAAGATACAAAGCATCTAAGGCTGAAGTGTGAAAACCACACTGAAGGCTCTCCAATTCTAGTTGACCAAATTAGCAATTAAATAGTTATTGCAAATAATGAAGCTATTACTAAAATGTACTTACTGATTTAAACTATATCAAAGTGTAGTTCAGTACAGTCTCTCCTCACTTATCGACCGAGTTCTATTCCTAAGAGTAGGTCAGTAAACGAACTGGTCATTAAGCGAGGAGCATACTATACTGGTAGCAGGTTTGTGTCAACCATCTTCAGATATTGTTTTAATGTCACCTTTGCACCATTTATAACATTTTTAGTATATTTTTAAATGTTTATAGTGTACTGTATATTGTAATAAACAAAATAGAGGAAATCAGCTCTAATATGCATTACTTAAGTATGCATACTGGTCAGAGAGCTGGTCGTAAGTCTGAGCAGTCATTAAATGAGCATGTCGTTAAGTGAGGGGAGATTACATGTTATTTTCCCTCTTCTTCTGGAGCCAACAATTTTTGACCTTTGCTTACCTTCTTGTGGGTTTTGCCATTTTCGTGAGTGTTAAATGGATCATAAGATGTCAAGTCCTTGGTGCAAACCTGTAAGGAAAACAAACTAGTGTGTAGTGTGCCTGCCTTATGTTTAACAGGAGGAGGATGGAGTCTCCACCACTCCTTACACTCAATGACTCACATGGGGTTAACAATTTTTTTTTTTTTTAATAACACACTGGCCATTTCCCACCAAGACAGGGCAATGCAAATAAGAAGAAACACTTTCATCATCATTCACTCCAACACTGTCTTGCCAGAGGCATACCTACACTACAGTTAAAAAACTGCAACATATCAACACCCCTCCCTCAGAGTGCAGGCACTGTACTTCTCACCTCCATGACTCTAAGTCCGGCTTGCCGGTTTCCCTAAATCCCTTCAGAAATGTTACTTTGCACATACTACTTCAACAGCACGTCAAGTCATAAAAACCATTTGTCTCCACTTGCTCCTATTTAACACTCATGCATGCTTGCTGGAAGTCCAAGCACACAAACCTTCTTTATCCCCTCTCTCCAACCTTTCCTAGGCTGACTCCTACCATGCCTTCTTTCCACTACAGATTTACGTGCTCTCCAAGTCATTCTTTTCATTGCATCATCTCTAAATATCTGAACCACCTCAACAACCCCTCCTCAGCCCTCTGGATAATACTTTCAGTAACCCCACTTCTCCTAATTTCCAAACTATAAATGGGGTTGTAAGAGAAGAAAAGAAGTGAATGCGAGGGTCTTGGCATAGGGGGGCAGTGTGGCAGATGTTGCAGATGTATAGAATAAGAGGTAGGTTACTGCTGAAAGCAGTGAAGAGTTTTTACGAGGATAGTGAGGCTCAGGTTAGAGCATGTAGGAGAGAGATTATTTCCCAGTAATAGGAGGCCTTAGACAGGGATGTGTGATGTCATCATGGTTGTTCAGTATATTTATAGATAGGGTTGTAAGAGAAGTGAATGCTCAGGTGTTTGCAAGAGGTGTGGAATTAAAAGTAAAGGAAATTAACACAGTGGGAGTTGTCAAAGTTGATTTTTGCTGATGATACTGCTTCTGGGAGATTCTGCAGAGAAGTTGCAGGGGTTGGTGGATGAGTATGGTAGGGTATGTAAAAGAAGGAAATTGAAAGTGAACATAGGAAAGAGTAGGTGATGAGAATAACAAAAAATTTAGGTAATGAAAGATTAGATATCAGTTTGGAGGGAGGGAATATGGAGGAAGTGAATGTATTCAGATATTTGGGAGTGGACTTGTCAGCAGATGGGTCCGTGAAAGATGAGGTGAATCATAGAATTGATAAGGAGGAAAAAGGTGAGTGTTGCACTGAGGAGTCTGCAGAAACAAAGAACATTATCCATGGAAGCAAAGAGTATAATGTATAAGAATGGAAAGGCCATTGAGTAAATGATGAATTTTTGTCCTCTGGGCCCCCTGTCTTGGAATGAGACATGTTCAGTTAAAAAAAAAAATTACTAATAGCATATATTATCATTTTTATAATGGACAATTTATCATACTAATTAGGCATTTCAATTATATCTCAAAATGCTAACAATACATTTAATCTTAAATCTGAACTACATACAGTACAGTACAATGTTGAAGAATTGAAACTTCTGAAAAGAAGAAACAGTGGATGGTATTGCTGAGTGGACGTTAAAATGCTTTGCCCATGAAGAAACAGCTAATCAGAATGAATCATGGTAACAGGAAATTCACATGTAAACAAATACAGCAGAAGAATTGATCAGTATACAGTACTTGCATCTCAGTCCAGGATCCTCATCAGATCAAGATCAAAATATACAGATCAACTAGTCTCTTGTCTTTGATTACGTGTGGGTTTCCTGCTACCGCTGACAAATGTTCACATAAATCATGTGTGAAGGCTTACTCAGCCCTGTAACAACTTCAGACAGTATTACCAAGGCTGGCTCCTCCTCAGAATAATTAATGAATAGAAAAAGAAATAATAATTCACAAAGATAAACGCTTTATTATTTATTAATGCAAAGATAAAACATTGAAACATGAAGGTGTATCCTACTTGAAAGAAAAATGAAATGAAAAATTGCCATCTGAATTCAACACTAATATGTACAAGTAAACTGGGGTGTCTGGTTGATGTTGACACCATCCTGTAGAAATTGTAGCCGTTAATGATGGGGGGGAGGGGGTTCCACAGGTGTTGAGTGACAACCCAATGACTAGTTCTTCACAGAGTGTATAGCCTTGAATAGCCAGTCCAGATGACAGGAACGCAGGTTCTTTACCACTACAAAGATGAGGGGTAGTGTCCTGTACAATTAATCAGGTAGGTAAATCATAAAGTGACGTCTCAAGACCGGTTTCAGCCCGTCTCCTTCAACACTTCTCGTTGGTTGGCAGGTGACCCGAGCTGTCATTCCAATCTGGAAAGAGAGACAGGTTACCAACTGCTTAAGAAATCACTCTCCATGATAAGTGTAAGATACTTAAAAAAAGGTGATGATTATCTAAAAGTCTCATGTGGAGCTTAAAACTGAAAGGACTAAGTTTATTATTGGTCAAAAGTGAAGCTTTCAACCAATATCCACTAGAATAGGAGCAGAGGCTTTTACTTACAGTTGTGCTGGGAGCTGTGAGTCGAGTGATTACTGTTTGGCCGGAGCCCCACACGTCACCTTTCGGGGTGGGGAGAAAGGGAAGGGGATAGCGGGAGCTACACTGACCCTACCTTAACAAGCAGCCGGCAATCAAACTATCGTTACCATATACTTGCTCGCTACTCCTATCTGTTGAACTTTTCCCTCACATCATGCTTGTATGCATGCATGAGCATGTGTGATATAATGTACTTGAAAAAGTTAATTAAAACTTACCTTACAATGGATACTAAGGCGAGTCCCATTCTGATTATCTTGGTAGTTGACTACATACTTATTGCCAGGGATGGTGTTATACAGCACATCTGGAGATAGCATCACAAAATTACTAGTAATTATGTTACACATTTTAATTTTGATATTAATCACACAAATGAAAATAACTATGTATTTGAAAAAATACACAAGTATTTAAATTTGTTTTTGCTATCTAATTTTTATATTCAGAACTGTTGTTGGATTATCCTAGTACTGTACAGCAATCTGTAAAAAATTAAATATGGCTTCATCTCCAGTGCAACTGAGGAAACCTGTCTCAGCCCCACATGGCAGTATTCATTACAATTGCAAAGAAAAAATGTTTGCCTCTATCTTGCTCATCCTTTAACCTATTTATTAACCCTTAAACTGTCCAAACGTAGATCTAAGTTCGCAAGCATAGCGCTCCAAACATAGATATACGTTCGATTTTACATTATGTAAAAAAAACGTAGATCTACATTTGGAGTGCTACGCGTGCAAACGTAGATCTATGTTTGGACAGTTTAAGGATATAATAATTACCATAATTACTGTATACTCCCAGAATTATAAATGAAAGAATTAAGGAAGAAAATGCCGCAGTGAGGAGGCGGTTAGAGGCAGTGGAGATGTCCTGTCTATGGGCAATGTGTGGTGTAAATATTATGCAGAAAATTCGGAGTGTGGAAATTAGGAGAAGGTGTGAAGTTAATAAAAGTATTAGTCAGAGGGCTGAAAAGGGGTTGTTGAGGTGGTTTGGTCATTTAGAGAGAATGGATCAAAGTAGAATGACATAGAAAGCGTATAAATCTGCAGGGAAAGGAAGGCAGGGTAGGGGTCGTCCTCGAAAAGGTTGGAGGGAAGGGGTAAAGACTTCCAGCAAGTATGCATGAGCGTGTTAGATAGGAGTGAATGGAGACGAATGGTATTTGGTACCCGACGAGCTGTTGGAGTGTGAGCAGGGTAATATTTAGTGAAGGGATTCAGGGAAACCAGTTATTTTAAATAGCCAGACTTGAGTCCTGGAAATGGGAAGTACAATGCCTGCACTTTAAAGGAGGGGTTTGGGATATTGGCAGTTTGGAGGGATATGTTGTTTATCTTTATACGTATATACTTCTAAACTGTTGTATTCTGAGCACCTCTGCAAAAACAGTGATTATGTGTGAGTGAGGTGAAAGTGTTAAATGATGATAAAAGTATTTTCTTTTTGGGGATTTTCTTTCTTTTTGGGTCACCCTGCCTAGGTGGGAGACAGCTGACTTGATAAAAAAAAAAATTCAATATTTATTACTGAAACTATTATAATTAAAGTTAAATTACTGTCTACTATAAATAAAAAAAAAGATGCGCAACTTAAACAAACTATGATCAATTTCTTTAGTATTAACCCTTTCAGGGTCCACAGGCCCTCTCAGAGACTTGTTCTCAGGGTCCCCCAAATTTAAAAAAAAAAATAATTTTTTCTTATGAAAAGATAGAGAATCTTTTCCTGATCATAATGACACCAAAAGTATGAAATTTGATGGAAAACTTACAGAATTATGCTCTTGTGAAGTTAGCGGTCTCAACGATGTTTACGCATCGGCGACTTTGCCCACTTTGAGCCCTATTTTCGGTCAATTTCAATTTACTAGTAGACAAAAGACATTACTATTTCGCTAGAACTCCATTTTTTCTGTCGAATGAGAACAAGAAACCATCCATTTACTGATTTCAACTATCCAATACAGTGGTCAGAATTTAACAATTTTGCCAATTTCACACAAATTTCAAAAGATGCCAATTTCCAAATTGGGTCCAGAATAAACAAGAAAGACATTTCTGGCACTAAAATGACATTTCCTCTGCTCATTAGTCATATCTCCATGCCATTTCCTCTGCTCATTAGTCATATCTCCATGCCCCTCTTACATTCTTTTGCTTTCCATTTTGAATTTTTATTCTCACAAAAAATAGAAGATTTACTGTTATGCAGACTACTGCATTAGTGTAGAAATGGGATAAATAATATCGGAGCACTTGTGAAAGAATATTAGACTCACCAGTTGATGTGTATTAGACGCTTAGCATGATTTGTTTACTTTTGAACTTTGGTAAAAATCGAACATTTCTGCTACTTTGAGCTCAATTTCAAGGTACTTTTCTTTGTAAAACCAGTCAAAATCATCTCAATTTCTGTAATATGTCTTCCATTCTATAAAAAGAGACCAGGAAAACTATAATACAACAATAAATACCATACAAAAATACAGTGCAAAGTCGCTGTTTTAATCCAAAAACATGGTCAATGTTTTTTTTTCTCATTACGCACTGTGTGCTGCAGGGTTTTTTTTTGTACTGCGCACACTGACCACATAGACCCATTCTTTCATATGTAGGCCTACCAGCTTTCTCTCACTAGATTTGAAGGCGCTAGAATTTATGAGTACTAGTACATCAAGGACCCTGGCGCGTAAGCCGTAGTAGTACGGCCGAAACCCTCAAAGGGTTAAGTAGACTTTAAGCCATTAAATTAAGTCTGCCCATACTGCCTAGGCATGATAGTGGCTCTCTTTGCACTGCAACTCACTATTGTAATTTCATAATCTCAATGTAATCTTGCAAACAAATAAATTTTGTTTGTTTGTTCGTTAGTAACAATATAATGAGCCAGGAGCTCGTAAAGATTTCTACCTAAATGGCAACTGAAAAATTACTCTTAACCCTTCCACTGTCCAAGCCCCTAAAATTAATATTGCTCTCAGTCTTCACTTTAAAAAAAAATTCTTCTGAAATGGTAAACAATCTTTTTTCCGAAAATGACACCAAAAGTATGAAATTTGATAGAAAATTTATAGAATTACAAAGGTGCAAAGTTAGATTGTAAAATGAAGTTTTTGTGAAATCATTCTTGGGTGGACCCACCTTGATAATATAATAATAATATATCTTGATTTCTACAAGTACATGTACAGTGGTCCCTCAATAATCGTCCGGCCTGAAAGTCGTCCATTTCGGAAATAGTCCTGTTTTTTCGTCAAAATATTGGCTCGGAAATGGTCCGGTAACTCGCTAATAGTCCTTCGTCCCGGACGCGTACGCACGGTCTGAGCAGCCTCGAACCGCCTCGGCCTTTCCTTCCCAGCCAGTGTGCCATTGTTTACCAGTGAGCGACGGTCCCCTCACGTGCTCCAGTGAAATATTTCATTTATTTTAGTGCTTGCAAGTTATTTAAGTGCTAAATAAGCTACCATGGCTCCAAAGAAAGCTCCTAGTGTCAAGCCTTTGGAAAAGAAGGTGAGAAATACGATTGAATTTAAGAAAAACATCATTGAACAATATGATAGTGGCGTACATGTGGGCGAACTGGCCAGGATGTATAACAAATCCCGTACAACCATATCTTCCATCATAGCCAAGAAAAAGGAAATCAAGGACGCTGTTGTTGCAAAGGGGGTAAATATGCTGACAAAAATGAGATCACCAGTACTCGAAGATGTTGAGAAGTTATTATTGGTGTGGATAAATGAAAAACAATTAGTAGGAGACAGTCTTATGACGTCGCTTATTTGTGAAAAGGCTAGGCAGTTGCATGACGATTTGGTAAAGAAATTGCCTGCAACTAGTGATGATGTGAGTGAATTTAAGGCTAGCAAAGGCTGGTTTGAGAGATTTAAGAAGCGTACTGGCATACACAGTGTGGTAAGGCATGGTGAGGCTGCCAGTTCGGACCACAAGGCAGCTGAAAAATATTGCATGAATTCCAGGAGTACATAAACAGTGAAGGACTGAAACCTGAACAAGTGTTCAATTGTGACAAAAACAGGCCTCTTTTGGAAGAAAATGCCAAAGAGGACCTTCATTACACAAGAGGAAAAGGCAATGCCAGGACACAAGCCTATGAAAGACAGGCTGACGCTAATGTTCTGTGCTAATGCTAGTGGGGATTTCAAAGTGAAGCCGTTACTAGTGAACCATTCTGAAAATCCCAGAGTGTTCAGGAAAAACAATGTTATGAAGAGTAAATTGTGTGTGTTTTGGAAATCTAATAGTAAGGCATGGGTCACGAGGGAAATTTTTGTAGAGTAGTTCAACGAAGTGTTTGGCCCTAGTGTGAAGAATTACCTCCTGGAAAAGAAATTGGATTTCAAGTGCCTCCTAGTAATGGACAATGCACCTGCTCATCCTCCAAACTTGGATGACCTAATTCTGAAGGAGTTTGGGTTCATCACAGTAAAGTTCTTGCCCCCGAATACCACTCCTCTCCTCCAACCCATGGACCAGCAGGTCACTGCAAACTTTAAAAAACTCTACACCAAAGCAATGTTTGAAAGGTGCTTGAATGTGACCTCAGACACTCACTTGACCCTACGAGATTTTTGGAAAGAACATTTCAGTATTCTCCATTGTGTAAGCCTTATAGGTAAGGCTTGGGAGGGAGTGACTACCAGGACTTTGAACTCTGCTTGGAGAAAATTGTGGCCAGATTGTGTCCACAAGAGGGATTTTGAAGGGTTTGGGGCTGACCCTGATGAGCCTATGTCAGTTGTTAAATCCATTGTGGCACTGGGGACTTCCATGGGGTTGGATGTGAGTTTGGAGGATGTGGAAGAGTTGGTGGAGGACCACAACAAAGAGCTAACCACTGAGGAGCTGCAAGAGCTTCAGCAGGAACAGCAACAGATGGCAGCTCTGAATCTTGCTGCAGAGGAGGAGGAAGAGAGATGGAGGAAGGTGCCTTCTTCAGAAATTAAGGAGATTTTTGAAATGTGGGGTAGGATGGAAAGATTTATGGAGAAACATCACCCAGAGAAGGATGTTGCAAGCCATATCGGCAACTTGTACAGTGACAGAGTCTTGGCCCATTTTAGGGATGTTTTAAAGAGACGCCAGAAACAGAGCTCTCTGGACAGTTTTTTTGCGAGACAGGACTCCAGTGACTCTCAAGGTGGTCCTAGTGGCATTAAGAAACAGAGAAGAGAAGTAACCCCAGAAAAGCAATTGGTACCCAAGGTGTTGATGGAAGGGGATTCCCCTTCCAAACAGTAATTCATCCAATCAGTCTCCTTCTCCAGTCTTCCATACACAAAGAAGAATCGCCAATAAAGGTAAGTGTTATTCTGTTAATGTTTAATTCAACATGTGCCACTGTATTGTTTATGTACTACATCTATATTTCACGTAAAAAAAATTTTTGTTTTAATACTTCTGGGTGTCAGGAACGGATTAATTGAATTTACATTATTTCTCATGGGTAAAATTGATTCGTAAATCGTCCATTTCGATAATAGTCCCACTTCCAGGAACGGATTACGGACGATTATTGAGGGACCACTGTACAAGGTATACAGGACTAGCTAATATCAATGACATACTACTACAGAGGAACCCCGAGTTTCAGGTGCCCTGAGTATAGGCCACGTCAAGTTTCGACCGCTTTTTTCGGCCAAATTTTGTCCCAGGTTTCGACCATTGCCCCAAGTTTCGGCCAGTGTATCAGACCTGCCCGTGCTTGTGCGCCTCCCCGTGCAGGGGTTGTGAACCAGTCTAGCGTTGTTTATCCTTGAGTGAACATTACCCTGCGTGCTCATCCTGCCAGCCAGCTGGCCAGTCAGCCATCCAGCCAGCCAGCCAGCCAGCCAGCCAGCCAGCCAGCCAGCCAGCCAGCCAGCCAGCCAGCCAGCTAGCCAGGCAGCCATCCAGCCAGCCAGGCAGCCATCCAGCCAAGCAACCAGCCACCCAGTTAACCAGCCAGCCAGGCATCCAGCCAGCCAGGCATCCAGCTAGCCAGCCATCCATCCAGCCAGGCAACCAGCCAGCCATCCATCCAGCCAGGCAACCAGCCAGCCAGCCAGCCAGGCAACCAGCCAGTCATGCATCCAGCCAACCAGGCAACCAGCCAGCCAGCCAGCTGAAAAATTTGTGCATGAATTTAAGGGGTACATAGAGACTGAAAAATTCAAACCCCAACAAGTGTTTGTGACAAAGCAGGCCTGTTTGGGAAGAAAATGCCAAAGAGGACCTACATTACTCAGGAGGAAAAGGCCCTGCCAGGACACAAGCCTATGAAAGACAGGCTAACACTCTTGTTCTGTGTTGGCATCTTCCAGATACCAGCAAGTCTCTTCAATAAAGGTTAGTAAATGTTATTTTAAATTTTTATTTAACCCTTAAACTGTCCAAACAGATCTATGTTCCCATGCGTAGTGCTCCAAAAGTAGACCTACGTTTTTTTACATATTTTTAAATATAACAACAAAAAAAAGTAGATCAAAGTTTTTTTACATGTTTTCAAATGTAAAAAAAAAAAAGATTTGCATTTTTTACATACTTTCAAATGTTGAAAAAATGTAGATCTACTTTTGGAGAGTTTAAGAGTTAAATTTTAATTTATCTATTGTATACTAGTACATGTAGTATATGTATTTATCTGTGTTGTGTGTATGTAAAATTATAGTTATTCTTAAAAAAACGTGTTTGTGAATATTTTTGTGGGTGTGGAATGGATTAATTTTATTTACATTTTTTCTTGTGGGAAATACTGCTTCGCCTTTCAGCCGTTTCAAGTTTAGGCCTAGCTCCTGGAATGGATTACGGCCGAAACTCAGGGTTTCACTGTACATAGAAAGCCACTTGTTATGCAGATCATTTCAGGCAAATTAGCTCAATTTTATCTCAAGATGCGACCCACACCAGTCAACTAACAAAGGTATCCATTTTATACTGATGGGTGAATATGGACAGCAGGTGTCTTATGGAAGCATGTCCTAATGTTATCCAGCTGTACCGGGGATTCAAACTCCGGACCTCAGTGTGTGAGGCGAGTGCACTAGCGATCAAGCTATAGGACACTTATACAGTGAATAAAATCTCGCATAAAAAATTACTTATAGTTTAGCTTTAAGATCTCATAAATGATTAAATCAAAAGCTAACTATCTCCACCAAACAAAATATTAATACATTTTTAGAATAAAAAACAATTTTCTGGAAAATAATATGCTTCAGTTTACACTGTATCTAGAGAAGAGTTTTCTTAAGAAATTTACTGGTTTCAAACTGTCCTGTTCATTATCATTATTTATTATTTTTATTATTAACTGTAGACATTTTCTTACCAAGTGCCGCTTGTAGGGTCCGGCAATTGTCAAAAGCATAGTCAACAATCCAAAAATCTTTAGAACGAGCTTCCTCCATAATGTCCTCAGCATCTGCCTGAAAAACAAAATATGTTGAGTATATATGTAAAACATGGGGATTTATTTAAACACTTTGTAGATTCCACATTTCTTCACTAATGTTTACAAAAAAATAAGAGCTTACTGCATATGCATCAGGGGATCACATATAATACAAACAATTTGGTGGAAAAGCTTAGAAAAACTAATTCAATCACAATCCATATATAATACAAAAAAGGGACAAACTAAGAAATATGAATTTGAGATGGTTTGGTCAAGTAAACAGAATAGACCAAAACCACTTAATTGGGTTTGTAAACCTGGGGAGAGCCAAACTCATCTCATTAAAAAGATTATCAAAATCTGCTAATTTACTTCTCAGTTCACATTTATCACAATAAACATTTGCATATAAGAAAGTGGAAGACAAAAACTATGGCAATCAGACATGGGAATTTGTGCTCTGATTATGTCATGAAGACTACCAGTATGAATGTAAGTTTTACATTAATAATCATGCTTGTGACTGTAGTTCTATTTGTGTTTCATGGAACAAACACACACGAGCCTGGCCTATGGCCGAGCTCAGAGAGTAGATAAACTCTTGAAACTCTTCAAAGGTTCAAAGGTATACAGTACAATGCAATCCTTTATTGACAATCTTTTGCCCACACAGTGGGCCTTCTTAAGTTACAACCTGGTGTGCTTGTGACCTTATAGAGCCCACTGTGCAGCCAAAATGTCAGTAAAGGATCACGTTACACATACTACATTTTTTTTTTTTAACAAGTCAGCCGTCTCCCACTGAAGCAGGGTGACCAAAAATGAAAGAAAATCCCCAAAAAGAAAATATTTTCATCATCATTCAACACTTTCACTTCACTCACACATGATCACTGTTTTTGCAGAGGTGCTCAGAACACAACAGTTTAGAAGCATATACGTATAAAGACACACAAACCTATCCTTCCAAACTGCCAATATCCCAAACCCCTCCCTTAAAGTGCAGGCATTGTACTTCCCATTTCCAGGACTCAAGTCCGCTATATAAAAATAACCGGTTTCCCTAAATCCCTTCACTAAATATTACCCTGCTCACACTCCAACAGCTCGTCAGGTCCCAAGTACCATTCGTCTCCATTCACTCCTATCTAACACGCTCATGCACGCTTGCTGGAAGTCCAAGCCCCTTGCCCACAAAACTTCCTTTACATACTACATATGTGTATATTATCGATCGTTTCAGTATTTTATACCATTTCTCTCCATTTTCACAAGTTTCAGGATGGTGATCCATTGCACCTAGATCAGTATGGTGATCCATGCTTTTTGGTCTGGAGGGTAGTCTGTGCATGAGTTAGTTAATAAGTACAAAGAACCACCGAACTATCTAAGAATAAGAAAAATTCTAACTTAACCATTTCTAAATAAAAGAAATCCCAACTCCTTTATGTTCAAAGAATAAATTTATTGGACTGAAAGTGTACCTTTTGAGAAAAAAAAAAAAAAAAACTGCTGCAATTTATATAGCTAAAAGTACTGTATATGTACTTCTATCCACAATTATTTACACAACATATTACATTTCCCATAACAAACCATACCCCGGCCGGGATTGAACCTGCGGTCAGAGAGTCTCAAAACTCCAGCCCGTCGTGTTAGCCACTAGACCAGCTAGCCACAATAAGATTCGTCCAACTAGGTATATTTCTACACCATAGGAAGGTTAGCACAGGCACCACTGTGACCACAAATGCTGGAGATTCGTCTGTAAAAACTTGCATTTGTGGTCACAGTGGTGCCTGTGCTAACCTTCCTATGGTGTAGAAATATACCTAGTTGGACGTATCTTATTGTGGCTAGCTGGTCTAGTGGCTAACGCGACGGGCTGGAGTTTTGAGACTCTCTGACCGCGGGTTCAATCCCGGCTGGGGTATGGTTTGTTTGCAATCGTGTCATTACGATTTCGTGAGTCACATTTCCCATTATTAAACAAAATTTACTTACCACTGATAGCCTCCCTTTATTGTGTTTTCCTAGAGCCATACTGCACTTTGGATGTACAGCCTGAAAATATATTGGGAGATCCTAGATTAAATCCAAATAATGTAATACTAATATATGACACTGTGCGTCATCAGAACCATTGCACTGCAATACCGTTTAGGAAAACAAACCTCATAATGCCAATTCACCCAAAACCTGCACTGAGGAGAACCTCTTGATGACATTCTGGCTTATCCTGGACCAATATCAAGGACAATAGCCCAGGAAGGACTAAAATGTCATCACAAGTCTTCTGTCTTAATGGCAGATTTTTGGTGAATTGTTCAAGCCATGGTACTGTGACTTTTTATTTTCTTTGATCCAATGTAAGCCAAATCTTGATTACCTACAAATGTGACATACATACAGTATAAGAAATGTACCCTGTCTCACCAGACTCAAGAGTTTGAGCATGGTGAGGCAGAGTTGGAGTTTTATGTTTCTATAGGGCATTAGGAAGGTCAATGATGGAGATAAGATAACATAAAAACTTGTTCAGATGACAACCTATATACAGTGAACCCTTAGTGTTCGTGTTTAATCAATTCCAGAGAGATCGGTGAAAACGGAAATCGACGAAAACTGAAACCATTTTCCCCATAAGAAATAATGTAAGTCTAATTAATCTGTTCCAGACACCCAGAAGTATTAACAAATTTTTTTTTTTTACATTAAAGACAGATTTACATGCACAAAAGAATGAACATTCAAAATGACAATTACCTTTATTGAAGACTGTTGTTGGTGGATGGAAGACAGGGAGGAGGGAAGAGGGAAGAGGTTATTGTTTGGAAGGGGAATCCCCCTCCATAAGGACTCTAGGTACCAAGTCCTTATCTGGGGTCACTTCCCTTCTTTGTTTTTTAATGCCACTAGGACCAGCTTGACAGTCACTGGACCTGTCACACAAAATATCTGTCAAGATAGGTCTGTTTCTGGCATCTCTGTAAGATTTATCTAAAATGGGAGATGGCACTGTCATTGTAAAAGTTGCCAGCACGGATTGCAACAACTTTCTCAGGGTGATGTTCCTCCACAGATGCTTGCACCCTACTCCACACTGTACAAATCTCCTTCAAATTCAAATTCAAAGTTTATTCTCTATAAGGATTACAATGCTGAGTTTACAGAATTTGGTTATTGTGTGGTTTACATGTAGTAAAATAATAATTACAGAGTGTACCACTAGAATGCCTAGCATGGCTAGGCATTTCGGGCAGACTTATATTAAATCTTAAGTTTAAAATGTTACAAAATTATGAGGAAAGTTGGTATTATGGCTGACTAAATACTAGTTGTGAGTTTAGCAATGTGAATGCTTTTGTTTTGGCACTATACATAGTTTCAGTATTGGAGTATCACAGGCCAACTTATGACTAGTTAAGATTCATTATTTTGAGATTGAGATTGATATTTCTGTTTATGGTCAAATGGGTGAGTGAGTGTAAGTGTGAACCACCAGGTGGTATTCGTATTATTAGTTGACAGGGTGTATCAGGGAGATAAGATGTTTTCTGATGGTAGTTTTGAAGGTGATGAATGTGTCTGCAGCTTTGGAATTTTCAGGTAGGGTGTTCCAGATTTTAGGGCCTTTGACATACATTGAATTTTTGTAAAGGTTTAGTCGGACACGGGGTATGTCATAGAGATGTTTGTGTCTGGTGTTGTGCCTGTGGGTTCTGTCACAACTATCAAGAAAGCATTTTAGGTCAAGGTAATATTGGAATTTAAGGTCCTGTAGATGTAGATTGCACAGTAGTAAGTGTGGATGTACTGAACAGGGAATAAGTTTAGATCTATGAAGAGTGGGGGGGGGGTGTTGCCAGAGATGGGATTTAGTGATTATTCTTACTGCGGCTTTTTGTTGGGTTATTATTGGCTTTAGGTGTGTTGCTGCAGTTGAACCCCAAGCACAGATAGCACCTTCTTCCATCTCTCTTCCTTCTCCTCTAAAGCAATTTCCTGAACTTTGCTCTGTTGCTGTTGCTCTTGCAGCTCAAAAGTGGTTAGCTCTTGATTGTGGTCCTCCACCAACTCTTCCACATCCTGGCCACTCACATCCAACCCCACGGAATTCCCCAATACCACAATAGATTGCACAACTGGCATAGGGTTGTCAGTTCATCCTCAAACCCTTCAAAATCTTTGTTGAGGACACAATCTGGCCACAATTTTCTCCAAGCAGAGTTCATCATCCTGGAAGTCACTCCCTGCCAAGCCTTATCTATAAGGCTTATGCAATGGAAGATATTGAAGTGATCCCTCCAGAACTCTCTTAGGGTCAATTCAGAACCTGAGACTATGTCAAAGCACCTTTGAAACATTGCTTTGGTGTACAGTTTTTTGAAGTTTGCAATGATCTGCTGGTCCATGGGCTGGATGAGAGGAGTGGTGTTAGGAGCCAAGAACTTCACTGTTACAAAACTGAATTCCTTAGACAACTGGTCTTCCAAGTCTGGAGGATAAGCAGGAGCATTGTCCTGGATAATAAATTGCCACTAGAGTAGCAGTTTATTATCTAGGAGGTATTTCTTCACACTCGGGCCAAACGCTTCATTGAACCATTCCAGGAAAATTTCCCTCGTGACCCATGCCCTACTGTTAGCCTTCCACATCACACACAATTTACTCTTGATGCTTATTGGGGTTGGAATTTTTCAGCTTGTACATAGTCTCTGAATTCCCGCACAAATTTTTCAGCCACATGTTTGTCTGAACTGGCACCTCCACAATGCCTTACAACACTGTATGCCACTTTGCTTCTTGAATTTTTTCGAACCAGCCTTTGCTGGCCTTAAATTCACCAACATCTGCACTCGTTGCAGGCACTTTCTTTACGAGATCGTCATGCAACTGCCTTGCCTTTTCACAAATTATCGACTGCACAACACTATCTCCCGCTAATTGTTTCTCTTTGATCCACACTAACAACAATTTCTCCACGTCTTCAATTGTTTGGGATCTCTGTTTTGTTATCGCATTCACCCCTTTCGCAACATCAGCTTCCATGATTTATTTATTTATTTATTTATTTATTTATAATTTGAGCACACATACAGAGGTACAAAAACAATACAGATAAGAGCAGCATGCCAAAGCCACTTATACTATGCATAGCATTACGGGCTGGCTTAAAATTAACTTAAGATTAACTAAGCAATGATGAAATCAGTGAAAAACATTAATGTAAACAGATTACTATAAAGCACAAGTGAGTATTACAAAGACAGGTCATATGGTTGCATGCATTGTTGTAAATTCAGTAGAATGGAGTATTCTGTTAGGTAGTGTATTTAAAAAATAATAAAGTTAGATTGGGTTTTAGGTTTAACATTTATGTGATATAATTGTGAGAAACATTTAAGATATACAATTTATAAGGTTCAGTTATTCAGTATTTATTTGGTTTTGGGTGAGTAAGTGATCTTTGAGAAGAGACTTGAATTTATAAACTGGTAGTGTTTCTTTTATATTTACAGGTAATGAATTCCAGATTTTAGGGCCTTTTATGTGCATTGAGTTTTTGCATAGCGTGAGATGGACACGAGGAATATCAAAGAGTGATCTGTGCCTTGTGTTATGGTCATGTGTTCTGTTGAGGTTGGCAAGGAGATGTTTGAGGGGAGGGTTAATATCAGAGTTGAGTGTTCTATGTATGTAATAGGTGCAGTAATAAGTATGGATGTTTTGTATGGTGAGTAGGTTGAGTGTATTGAATATTGGTGGAGTGTGCTGCCTGTAGTGAGAATTTGTTATCATTCTAACTGCAGCCTTTTGTTGGGTAATTAGTGGTCTGAGATGGTTACTTGTTGTTGAGCCCCATGCACAAATTCCATAGGTGAGATAGGGGTAAATAAGAGAGTGATATAGGGCCAGGAAGGCCACAATGGAGCTGATGGCTGATGGTGCCTTCCTGTACAACCTGCTGAGTTCGTCAATGCGTATGCCACTATTATACAGTGGACCCCCGACTTACGACATTAATTCATTCCAGAAGGCTGTTCAGGTGCCGTTACCGAACAAATTTGCTCCCATAAGGAATATTGTAAATTAGATTAGTCCATTTCAGACCCCCAAAAATACACTTAAAAAAGCACTCACAAAAATACAATTACATAATTGTTCGAGTTGGGAGCTGTTTGTAAGTCAGGGGTCCAATGCATTTTTGAACGATTTCTTTTTCATTTCTGTGGTGTTCCTCACTTTCTTTAGTAAAGGACTGGCACTAGGAGCATTCTTTGGGGCCATGATGGCTTATTTAGCAGTCACGCACAATAAACAAGTGCCAAAAACAATGGATTACATGTATTATGAAATGTTTCGTATGACCTCACAGGATATGTTCACTCACTGAGAAACAACACGACACTGCCTGAGAATACATTTGGGAGGCAGCTTTGTGTGCACACTGGGCACTGGACAGGTTCCGTACCATCGACGAAAATGGAGGAAATTGATGAAAACGGAACCAATATTTTGACAAAAATAAAAAAAACTCGGTGAAAATGGAAATAGGTGATAACGGAGATCGACAAAAAGGGAGGGTCCACTGTAATCCTTGTGACAATTAAATATGTTGAATATGTTAAAAAATGTGTTAATATGCCAAGCAATTCTCTGAACCACAAACATATGATAAGCTATATATACAGTGGATCCCCGCATAGCGACCTTAATCCGTGCAAGAGGGCTGGCTGTTATGCGAAATGTTCGCTATGTGAATGAATTTTCCCCATAAGAAATAATGGAAATCAAATTAATCCGTGCAAGACACCCAAAAGTTTGAAAAAAAAATTTTTACCACATGAAATATACATTTTCCTACACACAAAGAGAAGGATACATGCACAATAGTAGAGTAGTACATGCACAATATATATTGTGCATGTACTACTCTACTAAATGAAGAATAAATGACACTTACCTTTATTGAAGATGCAGCAATGACTGATGAGACACTGTGTCCTGGGAGTGCCTTTTCCTCCTGAGTACTGTAGGTCCTGTTTGGTATTTTCTTCCAG